GAATTCCGACGTTTCACCGCTTCGAATTATTGATTTTAATTTCACGTTTCAATATTAAATTTTATTACATATTTGAGAGAGCAATTCAGCTTTTTGATCCTTTAAATATTCTTCCATCTCCCTATGGATACGACACCCTAAAGTTGTGCTACGACTACCGCGTTATTTTTTGGACGTAATCAACCACGATCACTATTTTCGTCATATAAACATTCACAAGAACCACCACCACCCATCATCGTCCTGATTTCAGATTCATTTCAGTAATTTAACCCAAATTTCATACACAAATTTCAATCATCATCGACCAACAAATTAACACAAATCAACATCATCACCCATCTCAACATCATAAATAATTACAATCACAGCCATCAACACCATCTCACAATTACCGGTCATCACCCATCTCACCACTTTTCTATTTAAAATAAATAAATAAATATATAAAATCCTACTCTCTCTAAATGGAAAGAAGCTTTGATAGAAATATTGGGCTTGGATGTTGTGGCTGGGCTTGGGATTCACTAGGCCCATTTTCTGGGGAAACCCCACCAAAAATAGGGAAAGATCACAATTAAGGCATTAACTATGCACAATTCAAAAATCAAGTTTTAAATTATTAGGAAAAGGCTATTTGTACATTAGACTTTACATTACATTTGATAGGATGACGTGGATAAAATAATTTAAACAAAACTGACCGCCACATTTTAACTCGTGTCCTTTGAAAGGGTAAGTGAAACCGGCCCATTTAGCAACCAAATAGCTGAAAGCTTTACCCATTACCTCATTTTACTTTTTCTGTTGAAATTTGCAGCCCCCAAATCCGAAAAAGCTTGAAGTAACGATTCCTTTCCGATGCACACGAATTTGTAAGAATTGAAACTCTTTCATACTGCAGAACCCCGAACCATTGAAGAAATAGTCTCAATATTGCACTAGCCGAAATCATGGACAAAGGTATTATACATTGTAAAAATGTGTTCTTTGCTTTGACACAACTAATCTATGTATTTAGGTGGTTTGAAGCATCATTTTGTATAAATGTAGAATGAGTTTATGACGATTGAGTTGTTAACTTGTTGCAGAGAAACAAATTATGACAGATTTTGGTGATGAGAATTTGATAGAATCCGAAAAGGACAACGTGATGGAAATTTTGAACATATTGGATGATGATACATCAGGAGGAGATGGTGTGATTGTGCCGGAGGTTGGGATGAAGTTCAAGGATGAAAATGAAATGTTCGATTTCTATAAAAGATATGCCTACGCCGTTGGTTTTCCAATTCGAAAACGAAATTCAAAAAAGGAGGATGATGGGGTTATGAGATATATTACATTGACATGTAGTCGTGAAGGTCGCAGAACAAGTAATACAGGATGTTCTTTGAAACCCCAACCAACCATTCAAACAGGTTGTAAGGCTAGGTTGACTGCATCTTGTGATATGTGTGGAGTTTGGAAAATTAACACTGTGCATCTTGAACATAATCATAAAACAAGTCCTACGAAATCGAGATTGTATAGATATAACCGAGAATTAAGTGTACATGTGAAAAGACGGCTTGAAGTGAACGATATGGCGGGTATTCCTTTGCACAAAAGTTACAACTTTGCAGTCATTGAAGCCGATGGATATGAAAACATGACTTGTTTGGAAAAGGATTGTCGAAATTATGTTGAACAAGTGAGGCGATTAAGACTTGGTGAAGGAGACACTCCAGCAATACAATCCTACTATTCGAATATGCAAGCAAGGTGCTCGGGGTTTTACTTTAGTATGGATTTGGATGAAGACTCCCGGCTGAATAATGTTTTTTGGGCAGATAATAGGTGTAGGCAAGCATATAAGGAGTTTGGCGATGTTGTCACATTTGACACAACCTACCTCACAAACAAGTATGACATGTCGTTTGCCCCTTTTGTTGGAGTGAATCACCATGGACAATTGACGTTGCTTGGTTGTGGTTTGCTATCGAACGAAAATACAAATACATTTGTATGGCTTTTTAGGACGTGGCTACAGTGTATGCATGGTCAACTTTCCCATGGAATAATTACTGATTAAGATAGGGTTATGCAAAATGCAATCGAGATTGTGTTCCCGAAGACGAAACATCGATAGTGCTTGTGGCACATTATGTCAATTGGACTGTACACATAGCGCGGTCGAATACAAAAATCAAGTATTTATTTATTAATTAAGGCCCTGTTTGTGAGGGATTTAGATTTTTATACAGTAAATCAATTCTCATTTTCAGCCACACATTTTTCAATAAAATAATATTTTCCATCACATCAATAACTTTTCCTTCTTTTTCAACCACATATTCTCCATCACATCAACAGTAAAAATGCATTCTCACTCTCAAAATGTGCACTAAACAGGGGTTAAATTTTTCTACAGTAAATCAATTCTCATTTTCAACCACACATTCTTCAATAAAATAATATTTGCCATCACATCAATAATTTTTTCTTCTTTTTCAACCACACATTTCCCATCATATCACTATTCAAAGTCAATTCTTTTCCCAAAAATCCCTCCCAAACAATCTCTAAATATATTTTATTAATTAAATATAATAAATTCATAATTATATAATTAATGGCTACGGTACATAATCATATGTCACAACTTATTTATTGATCATGTTTTAAATAATTAATTGGTCACATATTAATTCAAGATCACAAATCAAAAATTTTGTAAGTTGTATTTTACTTTATTGATCACAGATAAAAAAATCATATGTCACAATTTATCAATTCGTTACATATTTTCAAATTTGTTGTCATAGATTATCGAATTTTAAGGTCATGGTTTATTTTATTGGTTACAAATAAAAACTGTGACAATCAACTATATCAGATCTCCAACCACCACTCCGTCTCCGCCACCAGATCTAACCCCAACCCCATAACCGTCGCCACCACCACAATAGTACCACCACCAACACCACAACATCACCACCAATAAAACCGTCACCACCAGATCCAACAAAAAAAATTCTAAACCCGCCACCACCTCCAACCCGGTTGCCGTCGCCAGTTAAGCCACCACCCCACCAACAAAATCATCAAGTCCGCCACCATACAAACACCATCCCACCTTCACACATAACAACATCCAACAATCAAACCCAAAAAAAAAAAAAAATCAAGCAGAGCCACAAGCAGCGATGTTCACAGCGTTGCCATCTCCAAACCTTACCACCGCCGCTACCGCACAAACCACAAATCGGAGAAGATTTCAGATCGTTGCTCCTGTACTTCCGCCTGCAGAGGCTCTGATCTCTTCATTAAACAGTGCGGTGCTACTTAAGTGGTGGCAACAACGCGGTTCCCGCGACGGGTGCTCCGGCGACGACGTTTGACAGAGAGGGAGGCATGAGGAGATGAAGAAGATGGGTAGGGAGAGGGAGAGGGAGAGGGAGAGGGAGGGGGAGGGTGAGGATGAGAATAATGAAATAAAATTAGGGTTTGTAATTGAATTGGGTGAAAACATTTAATATATAATTATTATGTAACACCCGATTTTTTATTAAATAAAGTTTAGATCTAATTTTTGAATTTGTAAACTTAAATGCCTAATTTTATGTAATTTCCTCCCAAAAAATATCTTATGATCTCTTTCTTGCTTCTTAATTCTTTATATTTTAGGGGAACAACCAACCGACCGATCATAAAATATCTTTCCCTTTTTTGACTAAAATCTAATTGTTATGTAAATTAAATATTTTAACGCAAGATGGAAAAATATTACATATTAAATATAGGACATGCTTTTCAGAAAAATAGTTAACTATATTTGACTTTCTAAAATGTGTTAGATTATGCAAAAAAATTAATCATTACAAATTTACAAATTTATAATATATTAAACATCGCATGAAGTAAGAATTATTTTTTGGACGATTTTAACCTTAATACAATTCAATTATTTCAATAATACCTTACTTTCGTTTTTCAATATTTAATAAATATTACAAAATTCTTGTTTATGAATTTCATGTTATTAATTCTCAGTTAATTAACATTCACAATAATTTAGATTTAATAAATCTTCACTTGATAAATCTTGATCTACATAAATCTAGAGTTACTATAGATGAATTTATTTATATTCATGTAGCCAGAAATTTTAATGGGTGTTTAAATTCATGTATTAGTAATTAGTTCTTATGTATCAAATGTAGTATAAAAATGTTGAATAATGTTATTTATCATTATATTGATGGAACATCGATGATATAGACGTGAAATAATGGAGAAGTTAATACTCACTCTATTATACCTTGCTTGGGGGATTGTGTGAGGCCATTTTTCATTGTTAAATGAGGCACGTTTCTGGGCTTTTTCACGTAAGTGTCTTAGTACATTTATACATGTTTGTCTAAGCTTAAAAAATTTAGTAACAAGCTTCAGAACGAATAATTCTTTATGGTTGCAACTTTCCAAAATACTCCAACACCACTATCAACATAAGCAATTTCTTTAACTTGCTAAGCCTTCGTTCGGTAAAACTTTTTTCAGATTTTAAGTTGATAAACTTCATTTTTAACTACACATTACATTGAACCCACCATTTTTATTCACTTTTTGACCACATATTTCATGTGACCACCAAATTATATTCTCATTCCACTTGCACTACCAAAAATCCTTTATATAGCAAGGCAAAGAATATCAAACCGTCGGGTCAAGGAGATAGGTGAACGATATGCTTGAGCTTCATCAGGTCCAACAATAATCACTAGTAATGTATAGAGAAAAGGTTCTTGAGTAAAGGCACCTATCATAAAAAGTTCAAGCATCCAAAAACTTTCATAAACAGATAATAGTAAGTGCATTAACGGCCCAAACTGCTAATGTATTGTTTTCCAAGATTATGGAAATAAATAAAAGACAAGCAAAGATGAATACAAAGTTCTGATGTTACAAAACCAAAGGTCATTTCACCAGTAATGGAGAAACTAAACATCAAATGTTTACCTCCATGTTAGCAGCAGCAGATTCTGGATGGTAATGAAGTATTTCCATCCACATCATTTCCCGAATCATATCTTCGCCTAAATCCTCGTCTATGTCGAGATTGATAGGGACATTGACCGGAGGATCACATCTTGGATCATAAAGGGGAGACATGTATGGATGTTGAAGTGCTTCGGTTACACTTATCCTCTTTGAAGGGTCGAAGATGAGCATTTTCTGTAACAGATCGAGCGCCAGAGGATGGGCATTTGGATAAAGACGGGAAAATGGGGTTCCCAGAGAGTAAGGAAGTGACTTAATGTACTTTCTCGCCTTTGGGTTATCAATAAACTCGAGATCATCTTCCCTCTGGCTACCAAGGATGTTGATGATCAGTTTAAGCTGGTTAAGACACTCAGTACCCGGAAAAATGGGTTTCCGACCAAGAAGTTCGGCAAAAATGCAACCAACAGACCACACGTCAATGGAGGTGCCATAATTGTCACAGCAGAGAAGGAGCTCTGGTGCTCGATACCAACGGGTGACCACATATTCAGTCATGAATTGGCCCTGATTACTGCTTGTACGTGCAAGCCCAAAATCACATATTTTTAGATCACAGTTCGCGTTGATAAGTAGGTTCCCAGGCTTCAAATCCCGATGAAGAATGTTTGCTGAGTGTAGATACTTCAGACCTCTAAGTAACTGCATTGAAAGATACAAATAAGTTAAGAGATCTGCCAAGCATAAGGGGCAGCGAGGTAGAGGTTTTAAAATAGAAATTACACTACAAGAATGAAATCAAATTCAAAACATGCAAATGGAACTAATATTACAAAATCCATTAGAAGTTATAATAGTTAGCAAAATAGTAGTCAAATTCCATTGTCACGTGAGATCCATCATAATTGTAAATGGAAACCAAAAAGTACTGTAGTTAAAATCAAAACTACTAGGCAGTTTGACATATGATGTGAGGCTTGAATGTCATAATTAGTTTCATGTCATACTATATAGAAAAACAATTATTAATAATGTTTTTCTACTGAGTTTGACTGCCACAATAGACTAAAATGTTTGTATACAGAGCATAAGATGGCCAGAAGAAAAAATCTACCTATAAGTGTGACATAATCTTATGAAGCATGCTCATACTGTAACCAAAAATCCATCTCCACTACCAAAATCCTTACAGTAATAATTTATTTCTTCTATTTTCTTTATTTTCAATGTTTGTTGTAGAAATTCCTTGCATCGTAACAAAGTATGTTAGAGCAGAAGCTAAAAGGGAATGAACATTCTAGGCACCTGGAATAGAAAATACTGACAATGATCATTCGATAGTGCTTGAGAGGACTTAATTATCTGATGCAAATCAGTATCCATAAGCTCATAAACCAAGTAGACATCCTTGAAACTTCTCTTATGATTAGGCAGCATGACATCCTTCAGGGCTATGACATTTTCATGTCTAAGATGGCGGAGAAGCTTCAATTCACGCAGAGTTCTTAGTGCATCAATACGATTTTCAAAGGCATTATGTATCTTCTTGATTGCAACCTTTTCATTGGTTTCCCGGTTGACAGACGAGCAGACAATACCATATGCCCCTCGACCAATAGGCTTGATTGGCACATACTTCGTATCAATCTCAAACAGTGTTTGCCACATGGAATAGTAGTGCTTCCCTGGAGTTCCAACCCCATTCGGAGGCTCAACGGGAGTTGCCATACTACTGAAACGGCTACAAACGGATCAAATTTCTACACAATCTCAAATGCTACATATAGTTACAGAACAAGTATCTTTAACAAACTAGGCATATAAAAGTGAACCTATCACGTGATGCCTGAACATTACGTACGAATTAACCTTAACAAAATCATTTTAACTTGTGATAAGCGCATTCTCGAAGTTGTTACGATCATGGACCATCCCCACGCCTTATACTAACTACTACTCCTTTCAGTGAGACGGCTAAACCATATGATTGTTCTAATGTGATGAATCAATCAATGCCATCCAAACAATTACAGTAACCTTTAAACAATTTCATACAGAACATCATTTGACATGAGGCACCTTACTGCATAACATATAAAAACAACCAATAAACGGCTCAACCTGAAAAGGAAATTCCAAAAAGAATGAACTCCAATGAGCTTACAGAAATGCAATGCTCTATAATGAAAATTAGGATGCTGAAAATAAACCTGTTTTCGACCAATGAGTACACTGCACTTCAATCAATTCAACAAACCAATAAAGAAAGCTTACAAAACAATTCAATGTTTTTCAACTGATGAATGGACTGCACTTCATTCAATAGATAAAGACAACAAAGATATCTTCAGAAAACCTCTTTTTTTTTTTTTCTTTTTTTCAAATTCTTCCCATATTCAGCTAAATTAAGTAGTTTCCATACTAATCCCCACAACAATTCAGTACATAAATCTAAAAAGAACAAATGGAGTGATTGAAATTTGAGGACATTAACACTGCATAAAAAGCGAAGATTTATGTTAAAAAGATGAACTTTCCAATTTATTCCATTTTCGGAAATCCAATGAAACGATAAGTCCAAACTTTCTAAAAAGGCAGAAAATATAAAGAGGGAGAAATAAATTATACACAATTACAGGTAATTAGAACTCTAAATTCACAAAATTCAAGTACGATCCAACCAAACCCTAAAACAAGAAAATAGTAAACATAGAAATCAATCTTTTACCCAGCAACAATCGACCTGTTGCTTTCCTTGAATCACTTCACAGTACCATCAAATCTCTCGTTGTCTCTCTTCAATTCCAACTCGTAAATCAGAATACCCCATCCAATACCACTTTTTCCCTGAATTTAAAACTCAAATTCTCGACTAATTCTACTCAATTTCACCGAATTGGATCAGAAGGATCTGTAATAATAAATTACCCCCACATTTTCTACTGTTTTCTGCTTCAATTGCTGTGAGCCCGATCAGAAAGATAATATAAATATACGAGTTTTGAGTGACTTTTCAAGAAAAGGGATATTTCCAGAATAAATGTTCGATCCCTTATCTGGTCGCAATCAAAGTATGGAATAAGTGATGAAGCAAACGACACTCTGCTACAGACTTTAATTAATATAAAAAGCTTCGACTTTTTCTTTGCAGTAACGTTGGCCGCTGTTTGAAACGTGTGTTCACACTGTCCATGAAGATATTATGGTGCAATATTAAAAAAGATGAACCGCATCCTTAGTAGCCCTCACCTATCCGTCCTGAGCCTTGGTGAATGAGGTAAATCGCAGGTTATGTCTCCAAGGGTACAGAGTAGAAGGTTGTTTGTACACTTGCACTTACCCAATGGCCAAATCCATATTTCAGGATTCGAACCCTTAACGCGGCAATCTCAAGCAAAGCTGGAGTTTTTCCACCTTCCCCTTTTACCACTTGGAGATGTGCCCTGGGGTCTATTATGGTGCAATATTAATTTTAGGGCCGGACTGGGTTCTCGACATTTAGGATAACTTAGATACGGGTGTCTAATCTTTAAAAGTGAAATTTCGAGTTTTCGTTTTATTTAAATAAGAAAATCTCGGTCGGTCTTTCTTGGTACTCTTGGGGAAAAATCCGACTCTTTTGTAATGATTCGGCTACTAATATATTCTTTCTTGCACAAATAAAATCGATAAGAACTGCTACAACCCTTATTTCGACGATTAACCACTCCAGGGATTTCTTTCTTTATAATCGGATTATACCCGGCAGTCCCATCCTGGTCCTATTTCAAACAAAAGAAGCAAAGATGAGTTCACACATGAAGGACAGAAATTGAAAATAGTCAATATAGAGATGTTTAAATCTCCATATATTTCACCTGATTTCAAAAAATAACAATATGTTTTAAGTAATTTTACAATTTGACCATCTAACTTTATGTCAGATGAAGTTAATGTACGAATCTAATGTCCATATTTATGATTCCATCACATAGGAACATATATATACGTACTCAAGTACATTGGGGACATAAACCCATAATTGCAAACACGTAAAACATTGGAGAGGCCAATCCTAATTTCTAAAAAATAAGTGATTATATTTATTGTTATCTTCAATTTTATAATAATAATGGATAATTACAGTAGCGGTACCAAACATTTCATTTAGTAACTGACTTTTTTCAAATCTTTCATTTGTGCCACCCACGGTACCAAACATTTCAAACTGTCGTGGCTAAAGTTCAAATGTATGGTTTCTGTTAGTTTAACTGTTAGTTGGCTAAATAATTAATTTTGACTAATTTAAAAGGTTAAAATGATAATTTTACATTTTTTTATAATAAAATAACTAAAATCAAATCATTAAAATTAAAAATCAACATCATCTTCTCTATTCACCCAGCACACCCCCACCCCCAAAACCATCACTTTTTGGGCACGAAAACCTGCACAACGACGCCGACAATGACAACATGTTCTGGCACTCAAAGCCCAAGAATTAGTAGGCCATATGGGTTCACGTTTTCCATCTCATAGGTTGGATAATGGCCTTTATGTGTGGGCCGGCCTGAGCAACCAAAAGAAAAAAACTCTCATAGTGAGCTATGTTGCCATGCCATACAATGGTGGCGATATCAAAAAGTCTGAAGAACTCAGTAAAATGTTTGTCCTTATTGATGGCTCCAAATCTAGAAAATTTGGTCCCATTACCAGTACTCATTCAAAGACAAGGTCTTTTGGTGGTTCTGCATCGCTATCAGGCCAGTTAAATTCAGGTAATTGGGTGGGTTAAAAATCCAGATTTGGGGTTTGCATATAAAAAAAAAAAGAATTTATTTGTTGGATTTCTAAACTGGTATAGAATGTTGCTTCAATTTTTATGGAGATGTTTTTTTCCATTTCTTAATTCATGCTTCCCTCCATCTAATATCTAAACGTTGAAGCAAGCTTTGTATGAGAATTGCTATACTCGAAGGTAATAACGGCATATGCTCCATTGTTGATGAATTCCTACCTTAACGATTTTCCTTTGAGCAATATGGGGTTTGCAGATTTAGGATGGGTGGAGGTGGGTATGTGTGGGGTGAATGGAGAAGAAGGATGTGGAAATGAGTTTTTAATTTTAATTATTTGATTTTGGTTATTTTATTATATAAGATTGTAAAATTACCATTTTAACTTTTTAAAATTAATCAAAATTATTGTCAATGTCAATTATTTGGTAAAATAATGATCACACTAATAGAAACCATCAATTTGGACTTAAGGTGTGATATTTTAAAAGGTTTGGTATCATGGGTGGTCCAAATGAAAGGTTTGGACTAAGTCTACTGGTAAATGAAAGATTTGGTACCACTGTTGCAATTATCCATAATAATAATAATAACAAAGTCTATTATTATATTAAGAAATGTAATTATTAACAGGTTGTAGAAGATATAATTAGATAGGTAAAATAAATAAGATCTTATTTTTTAAAATATTATTCAATATTATTGTGTTCATTAAGTAAACTACTAATAATTGAACTTGCATTGTTTGTTATTTTGAAATACTTTATAGATACTGTAAAATTAATATTTGATACAAGTTTGTTGGAAGGATTTGATGAATCTCAAAACTTCAAAAAAAATAATATTTGTCTATATTTCGATATTTTACCATATCACCCCTTAATATCATGTAGCCTACTACCGTCTAAATGGGTAATGATCACAACTAATAATGAATAACGTTACTTTACCAAAAATTCAAACTTAAAATCCATACATCCCATTTTTCGAGTTCATATCTTGAATATCATTAATCTCAAAAACATATGCTCCGCTATTTATCTTATAAGAGCTTCATATAATCTAGATTATGTTACTCCTCAATCATATATATACATCTAACTATCTAAGCATTAAGCTATTGCCTTATTATCAAACATCTTTAATAATTTGAACTTTAAAATGATATGATTCAACATATTTATGTCCCAATTTTGGACATCCCATTACCAAAAATATAAATTCAAATATACATACATATGGAAATATACATAAACACATGGCAAAGATATGCAAAAATGATATTTGGTTCAAATTGTAGCCTTTGGAATTAAGCAAGTTGCAAGATTGGATGGAAAAGAATACTCAAAAATCTTATTGGCAAGTCATGCACTATCTATATCGAGAAAGTTATATAGTGAAAGCACCTATTTTTCATTGTACTGTTATACTAGCTATTTCAACACTGTTATCTTGCACTTGACTTTGCATTCATATGGTAACCCTAATTGCTTTTTAGTTTGGAGATTAGGGAACATGATCCCTGAAATCTATTAAAGTGAAAAAGGACAAAAGAAAAAGGAGATTTATGCTTTTAACTTAAAAAACTAGTTACATGTTTCATTTATAGTTAAACATTTAATAGTGTTAATTTAAGGACTTAATGTGTAGTTTGAAGACAAATGCAGTGGAGAAAAAGAAAAAAATGAAAAACAAGTCATTTTGGGCTTTCAAGCAAAGAAAAAGCATATTCTATATTCGAGAAAAAAAAAGACGTCGAAATACTTAAAAGTCACTATTATACTTAGCTTAACATGTGTTTAAACTTAAGTTACTTTTAAGTAATTTTTTTCCTTGAGATATTCGCCCAAAAGAATTTTAAAGTAACTTTTAGTTCAAAACCTTAGGGGTCGTTCTCTTCGTGTTTCAGTTTTGTGTGTTGAGTTTTGAATTCGTTTTGTATTTTGTGTTTTAAGTGTCTGTTTTGAAATTTTTGAAAATGCGTTCTTTTTGCCATTCTGAAAAACTGTTTCCGAAAACATAAAAATGGAAAACGCGTTTACTTTGAAATTTTGATAATTTTTTTTGATAATATTTTATTCAAAAATTTTGATTATTCAATAAATTTTAATAGTTTAATTAAATAACATATATGAAGTTGGTGAATCTTAAATTTTTTTT